CAAACAAGTTGTTTGACATATTATGTTATTATAATAGAATGGGTACAATTTTTTTTTTCAACTATTTGTAATAACGCAAAAATTCAATAAATATCGAGAAACTGATTTTTATAACGTTTTGTTTATTGCCATAGAAACGCAAATCATCATTATCAAAAAAAATAAAAAAAATTTAATTATATTCCTAACAAAAAGTATAGCATGTTACTACCTATATGGTAATAGATATTCTTCCACTGCGCTATAGCTATTCCCAAAAACATATCTATGATTCCTCAATTTTCCTTGCAGAGGAAAAATATTTAGTATAGTATGTTACTTATAAATTATAATTTATACGATCGAAATTTTTCATAAAATTTTAAAATATTATTTCTTTAACCAATGGCAACCCTATATAATATAATTATATAAACAAAACAATTATTCGATTTTCGTGAACCAGAACGAAATTAATTTGTGAAATGTGAGCCATCCTATAGTAGGGATAGATCCTCTACCTATAGGGGCTTAAAAAAGATGATAAAAACACTCACAGAGTCTCAAGAAGTCTATTGACATACTTTTTATTTATATCGTCCAGCAGTTTCTGAGATTAGTGTGTTCAAAGTCCAAACATATAAACTCTTGGTATGAATATTATTATATCATTTCATTCCACTAATATATATAGTAATCAAAATCTATAAATCTTATTATCATATTTACCTACTTAAAATCTAATTAGGTATACCTAACCTCGTATATACCTAGTTACGCAGTTATAGAAAAATAAAGATAGCTTTGGCTTCCGACTATTTTCAAAGTCTTCCCATACTTTAGTTCTCAACCTTATATTAATTCTATGCCTCCCTTGTGAATTTTCCAAAATCTCACGCCCTCCTTAAATTAGAGTTTAGATAACCTTTTTTTGTTTTTGTTTTATAAATAGAAAATAACTATATACATTACAAAACTATAATGACTTAATTATTTTTTTCATTAAAAATAAAATACAAATCTTTATTTCTTAAATATATTAACATGTATAAATGTATATTCCAATCTAGGAAATTGAACGTACTCATATTATTATGTAGCTAATATTATTTTTTCTGTAAGCTAATATTCTTAGTTGTTGATGATGTAACAACAATAAAAAAAAAATGTAAATCAACTTAATAATTAATAATATTATTTTTATATTTTTGAATACAATTTTATAAATATTTTTATATTAAATATTATAAACAAAATGAATTTATTATTTTCATTTTTATTGGTTATAAAATGGCATAATTATTTTAACATCAAAATTCTCGTTATTTCATCACCACTATATTCCACCCGTGTAGTATCTAAATTCTTCCTTTGGGAGGGGGGGGGCGTCACACCTGGTTGGAAACCAGTGCCTCATAGCATTATACCCGTTTATTTAAATTAATTTAATATGCATTTAATATATTTTATATATTATACGGTAAAGCAATAGATAAAAAACAATGCGTCACAGCGGTCACACGAGGAGCCACGATTGTGTTTCTATAGGTAATTCTATATGTATAGGTAGTCAAAATGTCCGCCTTAAAATCGTGATAATTCCCTCATAATCTTCGTCCAAAGCTACTTAGGCTTAGGTGGCCCAAGACTGAAATTGTAGACCGTATACTGCAAGGTATCAATCGATTGGAGATATTGTGCAGAAGAGAGGTATCAGAGAGAGATCAGGTATCATTCATTTGTAATCAAATTGGCTAAACAACTTAAAAGTTGCAAGGATTAAGCAAAAATTTTCAATATTTTCCATGTGTTCGATATTGATAATTCGTATAAAATATTGTTGTATCCCAACAATCTCGCTGAGGACGCTAAGTCGTTACCTATCATAAGTACGATTTGTGAATACGGACCCGATTATATAATATCTGTCAACCTTGATGTGACCCTCGCCATACTATATCGTTGTTTCAACAGCGCATCTTTGAAAAACCGGGGGAGGAATAACTGGTTTGGATGAAGAACTAAATGTTATTTTTGTACATCCCAAATAGGTAACTAATAAGTAATAAGTAGATACCAACTGAGAACTATAATTTGGCAGTATAGTGCGAATTTATACTTTTTATGCTCCCGCTATCTGAATCACGAATCTGAACGGCAGCTAGCCACACCGGCATAAGCCTTACGACTACCAACGTAGGCGACCGTTGTAAGATTTTTGTATTCAAGCTGATTATTATAGCCTGATCACAAACACTCCGAATATCAATAATGGTTAATACACATCATATTATACATTGATATATATCTTGAACTTGACGCGGTATACATAATATAGGTACATCGTACATACATAATAATATGTATATTAGTTACTATATACTTACCAGCTACTAATTACTATAAATTATAATATGCTATATAGTGCATAGGTACACATACGGTAAATCTATATATTTTTTTTTATTAGACATAAAAGACCGCGGCAGCTCTGACCATTCGTCTAACATATCTATTATTATGATATAATAAGTATATAATTATGGTTTCAGTCAATAATAAAGAATGAGTTTGCCAATATATTATTATTTATTATTGTATGCAAAAATAGTTGATATCTCATAAAAAAACACTTTGTCGTGTTATAACTTTACTTATATAAACACGTTTAATGTTATGACTTATGAGTTATGACTTATGACTATATAATGACGTGGTATAAAACTGAAATAAAGTCAAATTCCATTAATCAGTATGCTATTGTCAATACTAATAGGTAATGACTAATGGCAGATAAAATTATTTGTAAAATTAAACACTGGTAAAACATTTATGTTTAGTCTTTATAGTTTAATGGATACAACATTTAATCATATAAAACAAATACAAATAAATAAAAACAAACAATTTATTTATTTCCATAAATAAATTAATCATTTTATTTTTTAACTATCTGTGATTAAACTTCCAGCGAATAATAAACTAAATGTTGATAAATGTTAAATTTAGAAATCATTTTAATTATCGTTATAAATACTCTTAAATAAAAACCCATTTTACATAATATACGATAGGCATATATTATATACTATGCTATATTATGCATATTATACATTGAATATTGCATTTTTGCATAATATTATTCAACCGTTGTATTCTCGTTAACGTGGTTTACAGGTAGGTAACTGAGGAAGGTAACTAAATAGTAAATTCCGATAATAAACAATTTTTTTTCTTGTAATGCGATTATGCTCGATTGATAAAACACCATTCATCACATTAATAGATACTGTAAAGCGAATAGAGTAACCTTGACATATTTGATCTATAACGATTATTATTTTAATAATAATCTGCATGATTAAGCCAATGACCAGCAGCTACTGAGGCATTAACATAAATTTAAAAAAAAAAACTTATCATAATAATTGCAATAAACAAACCTGAGGGCAATGAAATTTTAAATACTACGAGTACCAGATACGGATCCATAGTGAATACCTGGGGGGGGGGACAACAATTTTTTTACAACACAAATACAATTACAATAGACATTTTATTCTTAATTTAAATTTTTTTCTCAATATTAGTTTAATGACTATACTCTTAATGTAATAAATCAGTTAGTGATTATAATATTATATTAAATAACAAAATCCAAACGTCTTTTCATATTGTCGCTTTTACCAAAACTGTCAATTATTAGGTCAATGTTTATGTACATTTCCCTATGAAGATTGGAGAAATAATATGTCGGGGGGACCTGGGTCCCTAACACTCCACCCTGACGTGTACCTATATAGATTATCGATACATTAAATTCTTGAGAAAAACCCCCCTCCCACCCACCAAAAATGGGCTCTGTGTTCGGCTTTGTATATATCATATTCTCGCCATTTCTTCCGTATCAAATGATTGTTCGATGCAGCGGACTAGTACTTTCCTGTATATACCTCGTGCGTATACAGGCACAAATAATTATTATATTTATAAATTATATTCATACAAATTCAAAGTACATAACTAATTGTGTACAGATTTGTTCGAGTAAATATTAAACTACTCACAACGTGCATTTACCTCTACGCCAGAGGATAGTCGATACCTAGTGTTTTAAGTGTTTATTTAGGTATATTTAAAAAGCAGCCGTAGAATTGCAGAAACTACAATATAATATGACCATCACCTAATAACTATATTATACATTATACATATTATGAAAACTCACTTATTACGTATTACATACCTTAGCCCAGTTAGCCCTTAATGTTAATTATAACTAAATTAAATAAATTAATACATGTCCGGTTAATATGATATACTGAATTACAATATTACATTATAATATACAATTTGTAGAAATTGAATTGCAAATTTGTATACACGGTTTAGGTAAAGTCTAATAGTTTTTACCGAATATGACAAAATTCAGGCAAAGTGAATGTTTCCTCAAAGATTGGAAGAATAATAGGTGAAGATGGTTCTGGCTTCCGGATATACATTCTGCAGTCTGCCATGCTATGAACATTTATATACAGCATTTTAATAGTAGTTATATAATACCTAACCTGGCCTAACTTCACGTCCTCACCACTAAATGTGTTGTACCGCGAAAACTTGTAAATTATAATTTACAACTTTAACAATTAGTAATTAGTAAATTTGTTATGATTTATAACCACCTGAAATGTTGGTCCGTGTAGGTAGGTATAGGTACGTTTATATAGTACTAAGAATAAGGAGAAAAGTGTTGTCGTTTATTTTTATTTAAAGAGACTTTATTAAAAAACCTAATGCCTATTCACGAATTCTTCAAAATAACAACAAAAAACAACCCATCGTAGTATTTAAAAATTATATAAATAACTTAACCTATCCTAACCTTTCGGTAATTATAAAAAATAACACAAAGTCTGCAATACACGCATTATTATTGTGTATAATATTATAATACGAATACAAATCAATAGATTTTTTTTATTTTAGACTAAGCGAGTGTCGTTGTCGTCATCGGGGTCATCATGACAATTTACGTGCCGAAACTCAAATCGTTCAAAACGCTGCGTTGCGCGGTGACGGTGGAGCCCATGCTGTTCTTGTACTTCGTGGCCAACGTACTGTCAAACAATGTGGGCACGAACATGCTGTTGCATAAAGGATGCAACCCGAACGCGACCATGGCACCGGACCTGCACGTGTCGCCGGACTGTCTTCTGGAGAACGGCGCGCAGCACGGCGTCTCGTCCATTAACGTGTGGAAACACATGATCCAAGAACTGCTGTCGCTGGTGTTCATCATGTTCGCGGGCCCGTGGAGCGACCGGCACGGCCGTCGTCGCCGGCCGCTGATGTTCGTGCCGGTGATTGGACAGATGACCTGCGACGCGTTCAACTTACTGTCAGCCATATTCTGGAACCAGCTGTCACCCACCGTCACCGGCATCACGCAGTCGCTAATCCTGTCCGTCACCGGGTCGCAGCACTGCTTCTTCATCGGCATGTTCGCGTACCTGGCTGACATCACCGACACGTCCAACCGGACCATGCGCATCGGGTTCGCGTCGGCCGTCCTACCGCTGGCCGCCACCTTGGGAGCGCTGTCCGGTGGTTACCTGAACGTCAGACTCGGGTTCGCCACCGTGTTTGCCTTGAACATGGGCCTAAACGCGATTGCCCTGTGCTTGGGCCTGCTGTTTATTTACGACACGTCCGAACCGTACAAGGCGACTGGTTCGCTGTACAGGAACACATTCGACCCAAATATCGTCGTCCAGAGCTGCAAGACCGTATTCGTCAGGCGTGACAACCACAAGCGCTTTGTACTCTTGCTTATGATCGTCGCCTCGCCGTTGACCGGTGCTCCTTTTGTGGGTGAGTTACAGATATTGATATGTAACCTATTATTATTAGCATATGGCTCCGGCATAAATAGTAAAGACTAAAGACATAATTTAACAATAGGTAATAAGGGCTAATAAACTAGTGAACTAAAACTGAGGCTAACATAAAAAATAAAAGACTAAAATAAATTAAAAATGAGAGATTACAACAGGATAAAAAATAAATTTGGTAACAAAATTGGTAATATATGGCACTTTCTCTCTCCGATTAGGCTTGAACTAGGTCACAGGCACACATCTAAATTTTCCATCCACTTGATGGCATCATCGCTGGCTGAGTGGATTTCCTCAAAACTTCCCGTATATTTTGTTATTGGGCATTCATTTACTATGTGCCTGATAGTTTGTATTTGACCACAGCCACATAAAGGGGATTCCACCATACCCCATTTATGTAGTAGGTAATTACATTTTCCTTGTTCGGTTCTAATGCGGTTTAAGGTGGTCCACAAGGCATGCGGTAAATTAAAACCGGGTGTTTTTGCTGTTGGATCTTTGATCAGAGATGAGTTTCGTATGTTAGATTCTAGCCATGTCCTTTTCCATTCAACCTGTGGATCAGCGTCGGTCGTTGCTTCTTCCCAAATGGGGTGTCTGGATTTAAGCCGTTTATTTGGGTGATGTACTAGATCGTTGTATATTGAGCGGGTCTCATCCTTTTAATTTTATTTGATGGTCACTTGGGAACGCTCTTTGTCTCCTAACTTCTGGTGGGGTCGATGGTGCGAGAACCGGAAGCCATTGGGTTGAGACTTCTCACTGTCCCTGTTAATTTTTCTTCATGGCACATTTAGTTGGACGTCAATTGTGCAATGAGCGCTTCTAAAACATACGGGCGCGCCAGTACTCAGCTACGTAAACACTAAAAGATAGTGCCGAAGTTCTCAACGTACTTGCCCGTTACAGCCCCAACTAAGTCCCAGTAATTTACCGATGATATTATTTCGCGATTTTAATTATTTTTGTTGAATTAAGGTATTGTTTCAAAGGTAGAGGTCCTGCTGAGTTTGACGCCAGGTATAGGGCACTTTTCATTGGAAATGTTGATATCACCAATTTTTAGCTGGAGTTCTCTTTTCGTTTCGCGGTTATTTAGGTGGAAAGTCACGGCTGTTGTTTTGTTTGCATTTAGGGTGAGATACCACTGTAGAAAATAGTTTTGTAAGATTTTTAAGTCCTCGTTCAAGGTGTCTTATGTAACCTATAAACGAACCAGTATCGCTAAAAGTATATCGCTTTACGTTTCAACTACGCTGTTGAGTATAATATAATTCAAGTATATTATATTGTTTGGGTACCTAAATGGCTAAATGTATATATTCAACTTATCGGAAGGCTACCTATAAACTATATCTAAATATATCAACGGCGTGGTGAACTGTTTTGCTTGATGGGGCAGTTATAATACTATTATAATATTAGGTACCTATAGCCATATTATTCATTATTATTTCACCACACGAATGTGAATCATTTTCACCCACGAAAAACCTTGAGTCATGGCTCCTAAAACTCCATCATCAATCATATATAGGTATGTGAGTTACCCGCTATAGATTTAGTCTGATTTACGCGCATGGCCCTTATTTAAGTTTAGTTTTAGGTAACTTAACAGCACTTTCACTGAAAAATATTTTTGTATTTTTCAATGTATTGTAATCACACGTGAGGTAAAATGTATAATCACAATTCAGAAAGAGATATTATAGTGTTGGCTCTTTCTCAAAATGGCGTTGATGGCTATGTTAATACAAGTCTTCGACTTTCGGGTTAGTATCTCTGGTAGTTAACTCAAGAAGGAAAATATTAAATGGAACAGCTTATATGTGCCTATTTTGTCATATAGGATATGAATTATTAATTTAAATGATATTTATTTTTATTTATTCACAGGTGAAATAGGTCTAATGTACTTGTATTTGAGAAAGCAGTTTGGCTTCAAAGAAATTAATTTCAGTTTATTCAGTGCTTACACAATGGGAATCATGCTGTTTGGTAAGATTTTCATGTTTTTTGTTTTTTTTTTTTTTTTTTTTTTTTTTTATCAAGGTTTCATATTAAATAAAACAAATTTTAGGATCATTATTTTCTCTTGGAATTTTGAGTCGATACCTTAAAATGAACGATGCAATGATCGGTCTGATTGCTACTTTCTTCGATATTGCAACTGCTGTCGGATTCCTATTAGTTACTAAACTGCAATATTTATTATTTGGTAAGTAAAAATATTTTAATTACTGCGGCCCCCTTCCTCTCACACAAATGATTATAGGCCTCGGTCGTATTATTTTTTTGCCATATTTTATCTTTTTTATTTATCTATTTTAACATAAAAATGTTTGATAAATCAATTTTAGAGCTTCAAATATTGTGTACTAGTCAAAATTATATGATTTTTATTTTATACTTTCTATTGAAGATATGATTAATACCTATTTATTTATCTTAGATACAAACTAAGTATTTATTTATGATAGTATAATTTGTTTTTAATTAAAACATACACTTCTTAGTACCTATTATACTAAAACAAATTACTAGGTAGTACTGTACTATAACAGTCTTCTAAAAAAAAATTACATATTAATTCTTCTTGATTAAAATGCTGTAAGTACCTACCTTCACAACTATAGATAGATACTAACTAAATCTTTTTCCTATAGTTTTTTCTATGCAAATGGATGCTATTGTTACTAGTAGTGCACACAATTTCCGCAAAGCAGTGAAGTATTTCTAAAAGTAGATTTTTTCAAATATTTCGTTTAAAAGTCATAAAAGAATAGAATTTCAGTTTCCGTTTGAAAAATAATGAGTGGTAATAAAGACTATCGTACCTATATATATTATATGCTCCCGATAAACGATGAACGAATACTAATTATTGCTATTTACTATGTAGTTTGTTCATTGTACCCACTTGACACTACACGATTACAAGATGATATGATAGTCTAACTTACTGTTGGACTATAAACCAAAATACATTATGTATCAATATTATCTCTTGCAGTGGCGTAGACATGATTTCTGAAAGGCGGGGGATAAAAAAAAAACGACATAGCTAATGGGAGGGAAAAATTGGAAAATCCCCCACCCTCTCAAAACATTTTACTAAGGTAATAAAAAGCCAATGGGGGGATCTGACCCCCACGCCCCCCTTGTCTACGCCACTTTTCTCTTGCCTATAACTATACTAGGTATTTACTAATTATATTATGCTATATTCACGAACAGACACGATTTATTTTATATAGAATATTCAATATTATATTATGTATAATTTTGATCATAGTAATTATTAATTCAAATTTTCCTTTTTAAATTAAACAATACTAATAATAATAGGTAAAATGGTCATTACTTATATAATGGTAAAAGTTAAACCGTTTGTACTTGATTTTATAATATTATTGTTTATTATAAAATCAATATTTATACCCATCTATTCATTATGAATCTTGGGTACCTATCTGCATTGAATAATCACAATGCAAAATTATAAAACAACTAATCGGGTTATTTTATATTATAGTACCTCCTTTAGAACTGTTTCGTGGTGCAGCATTAGCTCTCTGTGGTGCCATAGCTTCGAAATGCGTGGAATCTCATGAACTAGGTAAGTAATTAACTTATATCTAGTACCTATAAAATGAAATATCTGCTTATGTCTCAATAACTAATGTTTAAAATCGTCATACATTATTAGAGAGTTTTAATGTTTATTTTCTATGATTATTTAAAACACATTAAAAATTCCTTATGTATTTAGTAACTTATTTACAATTTACTTATTTATTGAACATGTGTTTTGTGTCCATATAACAGGATCTATGAATGCCGTGAGAATGGCCATGGACAATTTATCGAAAAGTGCAATCTTACCATTGTATAATGTAGTGTACAACAGAACGCTAGAGTCTATGCCTAGTGCCTTTTTCATCATCAGCATATGTTTAACCGTTCCGTTAATCGGATGTTTTGCGTAAGTTTTTTATATGTACACAATTACGTAATACCTATAAATTATTATCACTTAAATTGGAAAAATATAACATTAGTCATATTTTTGAATTTCAGCATTACTTATTACTTGACACGAAATCAAGTGTCACCTGTTAAACCAATCCAGGAAAAAAATTTGGAAGATACATCAAATGATCTCAACGCTAATACTACTACTACTAATACTAATGAGATGAAATCCGACAATGCTGAAGGACTTGTACATATGTGAATAATTTATTTCATGTATATGAGTATTGAGACGTACCTATAACATAAAAACATCCTAAGTTGTTTAACCACCTATGGTAAAAAATTTGTAACAAGCATACATTTCTTAAATATTTGAATTGTATTAAAAAAAAATAATATCAAATGTGAATATAAGTATATAACATTGAACAGACATTATATTAATAATTTTGTCCAATAATGTTTGAACTATTTTTAATGAACTATATTTACTATACCTATACTATTAAAATTGTATTTATTTTTTGTATTTGTATAGCTGCAGGCATACTTATAAATATGTGTAAATTATTACCTACTGTCATATTGTTGTTCGTTTTATTTTCTGTTGAGTTTTTACATTTTAATCCAATCTCAAAATGTGTTTTTTTATTACCTAAGTAATATATAATTTTATATTTATATTGATAAGATATTTATTTACAAGTTACTTATATGATTAATTATTATACAGTACCGTCAGTACCATATAAATACTTAGTAATTAGTAGGTATGTACATTTTTAATAATATTACCGTGTAACTCTGTAATTTGTTGGTCAATAAATTGACACTTAAAATTTTGTGGTTAAAAAAACTTCAAAAAACTATAATAATTAGTCTTGTAAAATGTTACTGGCTTATGATAAAAATATTTATTGAATATTTAATTTTTCAAACATAGATACAATTTTTAGTTCAATTTGATTTAGGAATAATGATGATTGATGATGTTACACAAAAGAGTATAAAAAAAAAAAATCGGGGGTTCATAATCTATATATATAAATAAAGTACACAACTATTAATTTTCAGGTGGGGGGGGGGTTAAACCCCCAAACCCCCCCTCTGTAAACGCTGATGTTACATTATTACGGGAATTAGTAGGAATTTAAATTTTTATTAAAAAAAAGTTGTATGATTATCATTGATTAATGTTAATTATTGATTTTGTAAATATAACTATCAAAGTGCCTTACAAGCTAGTTACATGTAGAAAATTTCATTCGGATATATATTATAAGAAGCATGCTTCTATGTTTTTTGGGTACCTATATAGTATATAGTGCAGTGGAAAAATATCTAATAGTATGCTACGTTTTGTTAGAAATGTAATTAATTTTTTGTTGTTGTTGTTGTTGATTTGCGTTTCTATGGAAATAAATAAGTGTTACAAAAATCGGCTTCGTGAAAATCAGTTAGAAAAAGAAGTTGTACACTTGTACCTTATATACCCAGCCCAAAAACATATATCTATGTTAACTTTTTACTTTTTAGATAGGATATTGTATATTTTCATGTGAATACAAATACCAATAATATACTTATCGATTTTTTTTTTTGTATCTATAGCTTAATAATATTATAATTACACTATTACAGTACTAAACTACTAACTATTCAACAACTCTAATGATATATTTTTTAAATAGATAACGTATTTCTGTAGTATGGGATTTAACGTTTGACCAAGTCACAAGTGGATTTCCGTTAAAATAATACTATCAAAGTATCATCAAATCATATTTAATACTAGTAAAAGTTGATTGTCCAAGCATGCTCACCCTCTTCTTACGCTTAACAGGACGTTTCACCCGCATTTGGTGTCTCCACCTTACCCACGTACGGCCGCGGCATGGCAAAAACTGTTTTGCGCGGGAAAGAACCGAGAAGGTTACAGTTATAACTAAGAAACGAAATTTTCACCACATAAAAAGGAGAACATTGGCTGTACAGTATCGTTTTTATTTTTTTGTTATCGAAACTTCAAAAAAAGTTATTATAGGTTAAAAAAACACAAATAAAAATTGATTTTGAAACAATTAGAATAACAATCACTATATAGTATAAGTGATATTAAAAAAACAAAAAAGGTTTTGCACAGTCAAAGTTCTCCTTTATATGTGGTGAAAATTTAGTTTCTTAGTTATGACTGTAGCGTCTAGGTTCTTTCCCGCGCAAAACATTTTTGATATGCCGTACGTGTGTAAGACGGAGACAACAAATGCGGGTGAAACGACCTCTTAAATGATTTATATTAAATTCAAATTCTGATTTTTGTAATTATTTTAAATCCATTTGAAGACTAAATGTTCAAATAAGTATCTGAGATATTTAGTACAACTTGAGGGTGATTCCGTGACAATATAAACTTCTGTTCTTCAAATAAGTACCCCCCCCCCCTTTTTCACTTTTAATTATTCAGCAGATATTTTTTTGAGAATTTTGATGTTACTACCTATCTAAATTAAAATTTGAAAGAGTAATTTTTGAGTTACCTTCATTACTTTGTGTAATTGTGTACTAAGGATTATAATAAGTCTGTGGGCTATGGCAATAGATATGGATCTTAGATGATTCGAAAATGCAGTTAGTAATTAGTATAATTTTATTGATCAATTAATATAAATAATAATTTGTAAAAATTGTCCATGTATGATAAATATTAAATCTAAATATCTAATGTTACATAATATTAAATAGTCTATATTTTTGGAAAACTATTTTTAAGGATTATTATACATATTATCAGGGGCGTGCTCACGGGTGGGTGGATGAGGGTGTCATATCCCCCCCCCATTAAATTTTTTTTTATGCATTTACTTAGTTTCTTGCTTGATTCGCTTTTTCCGAAAAAAAAAAGGTAATGAATAATTGGTTTTAATTTGTTAGTTATGTAATAATTATCAAAGATATAAAATATTTATAGTTGGTAAAACGAACCATAGATATATTATAAATAATAATAATAATAAAATAATAATAATAATATTAATATATAATATATAATAATAATATATATATCTATGGTTATAATGTAACCAAATACCAAAATAGTCCACTCCGGCATGCCCGTCACAATCTATTGTTATTTTTTTGATAATATAAAACACGTTTCCTATATGGCGAATAACCATTTTAGGACCGTTTGAATGGATTAACGCTATTGGCAGTTCATAAAGATATAAGCGTTACTCCAGATGAAGTCTTAGATGAAATGGCTAAGAAACCAAGAAAACTTGAATTTGTAATTTAGGTCTTTAGACACATAATTTTAACATGTCCGAATATATAAAACATTAATACATTTTGAATTTTATGTTTAGCTATATAGAATATAGTTTTAAAGTTTTCAGTGATAATTTTAGAATAACAAGTAGGTAGGTATCTATGTATATAATATAATATATATCAACCTACTTCTAAAATACCAACGTATATACGAATATATGACAAATTAAATTTGTAGTAAAAAAGCCTTCAACAGGTATGTCACCCACACCTATGTAAGTAAAAAGTAACATTTTCCGAATTTTTTTTGCATCGACTTTATAACCGCTATTTTAATATATAGTTGCGCCAAATTGCAACAGAAAAAATAAGCTCCTTCTCCCGAATAATCTAAGTAACAGAAACGTTGTTTTAAAAACGTTTTCAACCCGTTGCCCCACTATAATTATAATATTTGAAATTTTTTTTTGCCAAAATTGTTAATCAGTGACGGTTTAAACTATCTGTATTAGTTTTGAAGTTCGATATTAAATCCTTCAATCAAAAAATATGACAAATTAAATTTGTAGTAAAAAAGCCTTCAACAGGTATGTCGCCCACACCTATGTAAGTAATAAGTAACATTTTTCGAATTTTTTTTGCATCAACGTTTAGACGGCTATTTAAATATATAGTTGCTTCCATTTGCAATATAAAAAGAAAACTCCTTCTACTCAATAATCTAAGTAACAGAAACGTCTTTTTAAAACCGTTTTCAACCCGTTGCCCCACTATAATTAAAATATTTGAATTTTTTTTTTGCCAAAATTGTTAATCAGTGACGGTTTAAACTATCTGTATTAGTTTTGAAGTTCGATCTTAAATCCTTCAATCAAAATATATAACAAATTAAATTTGTAGTAAAAAAGCCTTCAACAGGTATGTCACCCACACCTATGTAAGTAAAAAGTAACATTTTCCGAATTTTTTTTGCATCGACTTTATAACCGCTATTTTAATATATAGTTGTGCCAAATTGCAACAGAAAAAATAAGCTCCTTCTCCCGAATAATCTAAGTAACAGAAACGTCTTTTTAAAACCGTTTTCAACCCGTTGCCCCACTATAATTAAAATATTTGAATTTTTTTTTTGCCGAAATTGTTAATCAGTGACGGTTTAAACTATCTGTATTAGTTTTGAAGTTCGATCTTAAATCCTTCAATCAAAATATATGACAAATTAAATTTGTAGTAAAAAAGCCTTCAACAGGTATGTCACCCACACCTATGTACGTAAAAAGTAACATTTTCCGAATTTTTTTTGCATCGACTTTATAACCGCTATTTTAATATATAGTTGCGCCAATTTGCAACAGAAAAAATACGCTCCTTCTACCGAATAATCTAAGTAACAGAAACGTCATTTTAAAACCGTTTTCAACCCGTTGCTCCACTATAATTACAATATCTGAAATTTGTTTTTGCCAAAAGGGTTCCTCAATGACGGTTTAAACTATCTGTATTAGTTTTGAAGTTCGATCTTAAATCCTTCAATCAAAATATATGACAAATTAAATTTGTAGTAAAAAAGCCTTCAACAGGTATGTCGCCCACACCTATGTAAGTAATAAGTAACATTTTTCGAATTTTTTTTGCATCAACGTTTAGACGGCTATTTAAATATATAGTTGCGCCAATTTGCAACAGAAAAATAAGCTCCTTCTACCGAATAATCTAAGTAACAGAAACGTCGTTTTAAAACCGTTTTCAACCCGTTGCCCCACTATAATTAAAATATTTGAAATTTTTTTTTGCCAAAATTGTTAATCAGTGACGGTTTAAACTATCTGTATTAGTTTTGAAGTTCGATCTTAAATCCTTCAATCAAAATATATGACAAATTAAATTTGTAGTAAAAAAGCCTTCAACAGGTATGTCGCCCACACCTATGTAAGTAATAAGTAACATATTTCGAATTTTTTTTGCATCAACGTTTAGACGGCTACTTAA